CTCATTGGCAATTAATTGGCACCAAATGTTTTATATTGACCCCTATATACTCTGTTGATTCCCCTTCCGTTCCCTTGAAAACCATACGATCTCCCCCAAAAATCCTCCGGGTTCCCTCCCCCCCCCCATCCGTAATGACTAGTCCCTTTTGAGGCTAACGGCACTGTCTGAATGTAAGCGTTGTGTGTACGATTATGCATTAAGAGAAAGTTGAAAACTTTGTTTGGATAAAACCATTTCCGTTATTCAGTTAGGAATTGCCACTTTTTCACTTGGCGCCATTGTGAGCGAAAATCAAATTACTCATCTTCCACAGCTATTAGAGTTCATGTAACTTAGAACTATTTCTAACTGAGCGAAGATCGAAATATCCTTTCAGTGTGACGAGGAAGTATTTATTGAATTTTGATAAATGCACATAACTTTGCTATTTAAAAATGCAGCTTTGTCTTGTTAAGTTTCCCACTCAAAAACTTAAAAAAAAAATCTTGTTCATGCCAAATTTTCTTAAAGGATTTAAAGACAGTCCTAATTTCCAGTTTAACAAGGTGATGAAAAACCGTTAATGACCTTTGCTTCTTAAATACGAAGACATTGAGGCTTTACAAGCGAACTTATCACATATCATAACTCGTTTTTGTTGACTTACAGAACTTTAGTTGGGCGATGACAACTTGTTTATAACAGTGTATTTGACCAATAAACAAGGGTCAAAAATCATTCCATTACCGTTTTAAGTTTTTCTGTTTAATTAGTCGTTCATTCGCCGTTTCATGCTTGTCCTTGACCCTTCACACCGTAAAATCAACATGCACACTCTCCATACTGTTCTCCAGATATTCCCTGAGGTGCTGACAAGGAGAATTTGTTTAACAATAAAGAGCTTAATTTCATGACCTTAATTTTGCGATTCAGGAGTGACATTGTTAGAAAAAAATTAGATGCAAACCACTCTAAGGGGTCCAGGGGTTAATTAATCAATTAATTAATTCTCCATGCTAGGAGTTTAAGTTTAATTCATTCGCCACAGGAATGGCAGGAGAAAGGAACAGAACTTTCGTTCCAATTGACACCTAACCCCTTTTTTACCCACCCATCCCACCCCGAGGAGGACATCCATCACACAGTAATCTCATATGTGGGAAATTAACGTCTCCTACCCCAACCCTGCAGGAGACGAGACTTCCATTTATCGTCCCTATCCGAAAAGACTAGAAAGTCTAACCATTTGAAGATATCATTACAAAGGCAGCACTTTCTTCTCAGTTAATTAAAGACACTGAGTGTTGGTCCGGCCGGATTTGAACTCACGACCTCCCCGCACAACAGTCCGGCGCTCTACCAGTTGAGCTAAGCGGGAGGAACGTAACAAGGCTTTTGTGCATTATCTTGCAGTTGAATTTTCACGCTAAGCCTTTCACCCTTAATTCTTTTCTGCCATAAAATCTACTTAAACATCAGCATGCATTTTCTCCATTTTGTTCTTCATACATTTCCTTTGGTGCTGACAAGGAGAATTTCTTTAACAATCGAGAGATTTTTTAGTTGGTGATCATTTCCAATATTCTCCTGACCTTAATGTTTGATTTAGGGGTGATATTCGAAGGAGAAATTAGATACTAATCATTCTAAGAGGCCAAAAAGTTTAACACAAGCCATAGGAAAAAGTTTCAGGGTGATGAGAAATCTCGGTCCCAATTCCCCTCTTCTTCGATTTTATAGTTTTAATTTCGTTTTATAGGAAAATTTATTACTTGACGAGGAAATTCGCATTCAATTGCACGCGAAAACGATACCGCACGAATCGCGAAGCGATGGGTGCGATATCGGTTTTCAAGTGCAATTTAACGTGGAACTAACGAGTCAAGTAATAGACTTTCCGTGACTCGCATAATTGAATCAGAAAACAAGAAAAAAAAAAAGGAAAACAGCATTACTTATAGTTTTTATGTATATGTAGATGCGAAACAATAACACTTAGCCTCGTTTTCAACTCGCAATTCCACGCTAAATACCTCGCTTCGTTAACCAATCAGAATGCGAGATTTAATTCAATACTGCGATTCTAAAATGAATCAGGGAACACTTATGAATAGATACGTCCATTATAATCGATCTCCGGATGATCATTCTACAGGACTTCACCCTTTACCTCCTGCCATCAATGTCCATATTCTCAATGCTAATTTCTATATAGGCCAACGGAACTGACAAGAAGAATTTGTTTCACAATCAGGAGCTTCTTTAGTTTGCGATCATGTTCGTTGTCCACCTGATACTGACGTGTCAGCAGTGATTCTGTAAGGAGAAATTCCATGCAAGTCGCTCTCAGGGATTAAAGAGAGGTCGATTAATACATTTATATATTCATTTCACACGAACAAGTGTACATAGACTAAGTCTACAGTCTGTTCATACGAGGGGGGGGGGACGGGGGGAGATAGTCACTGGCCATGGATTATTGACTCTTGAGATTCTGGAACTACGAACACTCAATTCTCGGGTGGAACCAGCAGATTTCTTGAGACACAAAGCAGCTAACAGGCCTTCCTTAAACTCGGGGATTTTGAGCACGTACAGGACAGGATTTAACAGGGAATTAGCAAAATGGAGGAACTTGGTCACATAAAACAGTTGAATACGAGAGACTGAAGGATTTATTCGCATAGTGCTGATGACCAAATTTGCAATGACAAAGGGAAGCCAAGCCGCCAGGGAAACAGCTGTCACAAGGAGACAAATGCGGGATAAAGAAGATTCCTTCTCGAGGATTCGATGTTGGTCATTTTTTTGGACGTCCCGCACTTTCCTCAAGATGACTAAGTACGAAATGCAGATCACGAGCAACAGCGTAGAGAAGAATGGTATCCACATGAACAGAAGGGTAGCCTGTCGAGACCGGGAGCGGAAGACCTTGGGATACTTCAGTACCATTACATGAAATAATGGGATAAAGATCGCGGCGATCCAAGCGGTAACAACGAAGAGTATATAGCAACCAGACTTAAGGGCGCGGTAATTGAACGGACGTAAAGTCGCATAGAGCCTTTCCAACGCAATCATAGCGAGGAACGTAATCGATGCAAATCCAGCAAACATGTCGAAAAACAGGGCAGTGTCGAAAAGGTTTATTCTTGAGCTCCATAGTTGCTGAGAGTCGCCAAATAAGAGAACGAACATCGGTATGGCCAGAGCACCGACCAGGGTGTCAGAGATGGTCAAGTTGATCATCAGATAGTATCTTCCCCGGCGAAGTTTTCTCTTTCCGAGAAACACAAAGGTCGTGAGGAGGTTTGCGACTATAATCAGGAAAGCTTCAAGAATGAAGAGAGAACACCAAAGTATTGCATTGGATTTCTTCATGGCGCCAGTTTGTTGGCCGAAGTCAGTTGAGCTGAAGTTTTCCAAGTGAATGTAACAGTCTTCTACAGATTTATTCAGTCTCATCTTCGGTTTTTTTTTCTTCTGAAGATCTGCAGCAGAGGGAATAATTAAACTTTAAAATTCAAGAAAAGCAATGACATTAGATTCAAATATTTGTAGCCTTAGAGCTCACACTAAAATTGATAAAAATCGCAGTAAATCTTAGAGACATCCCTTTATTAATAAGGACAAGTAGTAGCCACTGAAAGAAGAAAATAAAACGATTTGAAATTTCAAACTTACCGCGGCTAAAACGTCTGTAATTTGACGAAAGACCTCAAAACTCTTTGCCTACTTGTCGATCATCTGACTGTCAAATCAACGCGATATCTTCTTCTTGTATCTCAGAATAAAAATGAAGACTTCGCGTATGCAGAAAGAAAAGTGCTCTAGTTTTAACTTCTAACTTGCGAATTTCGTGGCTCTGAAGAAACCAACAAGTATTGGGTACCGTTATTTAGTCACAAAAAAACTAGCACATTCTTAAGTAACGTGCGGGCCGATGTCTTGCATGTGTTGGCATATTCATACCTGCAAATAATGTTAAAGATGTACTTTGACACTTGTGGGTATGGCGAACTTAATTGCCACACTGTACTATAATAATTGAACAATGGCGAAAGCCAGCGTGGTAATGTAACCTTGCATCTGATGCACAACACGTTTTATAAATGCATTTTTCTTAAGCAATCGGTTGCAATGTGATTGGTTGAGGCACAGTGACCAAGAAACCGTTAGACGATGTTGTTTGATCAAAACAAATTTTAAGCTAAGAGCACGAGAGAAATATCGAAATCAGTGTCATTACCACTTCCTTTTAAACATCCGTTCAAGGTAAGTCTACTACTCGAATTCGTCCTTTCTTCTCCATAATGTGGCAATGATTTGTGATAAAGAAGATTCGTCGGGTTGACTTACTACGCATTAATGCATGGAAATGGTCCGATCCTTTCTTAGGCAGAGTTTTTGCACTCAATTGAATCGATGCAATGGTTAGATACCTTTTCAAAGTTGCGTGGCGTTGTTGTTTTCAAGTTCCGTCGGCGTACTTCAATGTAACCTTGAAGTCATGACGGAAACTGGCATATAAACTGAAGCACCGTGAAACTACTAATCGAGTGCTTCATTCAGTCGATGAATAAAGGACATGCAATAGTCGAAAACTGGGCAAGATTTCCGTAGAACCCCATACTTCATTATGCATACAATTCTTGGATAAGAGAAAGCAGAGGCAAAAAAACAGATTACCTTTGGGATTACGGCTTTGTTTTTAGTTGGTATGGGGTTACACGGAAATCTTTCCGAAAACTGCTACCGGTTTCGAGCGTTTCCTTAGTACAGCAGCGAGTGTGAAAACGTATTTCAATTAATCCCTTGCATGACATTTTTAACTCGTGGGACGTGAAAAGCAGAGACGAGTTTTTGTGCAGAATCCGTTATGCAAATGATCACTGACTTCCTAAATTGTGGACAAAGATCATCGCGCTACAATGAAAATATTATTGAACGACTTTGAGGCAAAAAGTGACATAGGAATGGAAAACAGTAAAATTGGGCGAAGCAGGAAAAAGTAAAAAAAACTTGAGAAAGTCACGAAACAAGAAACAAAAACATTCTTTCCTCTTTCATGAAGCTTTTGAGAAAAGATGTTAAGGGAAGGAATCACATGGGTAGAAAACTGTTGCTACACCTGAGAGGTCTTCATGTATGTTCCGGCCTTAACAAATTTTTTTTAACTTCATTCTTCCTTTCTCCAAAGATCATGTCTGAACAGAACATGAAAAACATAACCCTGGAGGAAACGGCAAAAACTGATAACGAAAATGCTACCATTTCTGCCCCACTTATGAAAGATAAACCCACCGCTATATTTTGGTGTTCTTTCTTCATTCTTGAAGCCTTAGTGATAACAGTCGGAAACCTCCTGACAACCGTTGTGTTTCTCCGGACCAGAAAACTTCGCAAGAGACGATACTATCTAATGATCAACTTGGCCATCTCTGACATGTTAGTCGGTGCTCTGGCCATACCGATGTTCGTTGTGGCGTATGGCGAGTCTCATCAACTATGGAACATAAATCCTCAAAGATCTGTTCCTGTTGAAGTCAATATGTTTTTCGACATGTTTGCAGGATTTGCCTCTATTGCTTTTCTCGCAATGATTGCGTTGGAGCGACTCTACGCAACGTTGCGACCGTTCAACTATCGTGCCCTCAAGTCAGGCTGGTACATTCTCTTCACAGCCACCGCTTGGATGACCGCGGGCTCCGTCCCCACATTTCACATAATGGCCATGAAGTTTCCCACAGCTTTCCACTCCTCGACTCCAAAGGCTCTCGTTATCTCAATGTGGGTCCCATTCCTCTCCGCGCTGCTGCTTCTGATCTGCGCTTCATATATTGTAATCTGGACGAAAGTGCAAGACATCCGCAAAAGTGTCGGAAAACGAGACATCGAGAAGGAATCTTATTTATCCCGCATTTGTCTTCTTGTCACAGCTGTTTCCCTAGTTACCTGGCTTCCCTTTGTCATTGCTAATCTGATATTTAGTATGCAGTCAGTGAAACGCTTTAAATCCTTCATGCAGCTGTTTTATGCAACAAAGTTTCTCCACTTCGCCAATTCATTTCTGAATCCTGTGTTATACGTGCTCAAAATCCCTGAGTTTAAGGAACGCCTGTCAAATCTTTGCCGCAAAAAACCTCCCATACCGGCGCATGATCTCAGAGTTCGTCTATCCAGATCTATGATATCACTGAAATGACGAAATATTTGTGTAAGGCTGGGAGTAGGGGAGGAGGGAGGGGGAGGGAGAGGAAGGAATAGGAGGGGGAGGGAGGGGAGGGAATAGGAGGGGGAGAGTCGGTTTAAGTATCGATAGATTTCTACGATAAAACAATCTGTGATGTGATCTTAAGTGGTTATAGCTCTAATAGTAATAAGGGGTTCTGCGGCCAATGGTGAGATGACCTCACAGGCTCACCCCGTGATATCTTCACATGTTAACGTATAGATTGATTTGAAACAAGAATTTATGATTGCGTTCTTGTAATAAGATTTCAGTGTACACAGTATTAAAAGATTTTTTTCGCCCATTGAGACATCGTGTATACTTAGTGACGTGTCATAATAGCACCTGCAGATGTTTCTTGGTCAATAAAAATTCATGTTCATCAAGTTACTTGTTTGATTGTTCTTTCATTTACGTTCTACATTGAAAGCAGTTTGATTCAATATGGAAAAGAAGGTTGTAAGCGCTAAAATTCCTAATAGATTTTACAGAATTCACGTACGCCAAATGCAAAATCATTCTAATGGTTCATTATAGGAGCTGGTGAGATTAGGACCGTCCAACCCGAAAACTCGCCAAGATAGCAATAAAAACCCAATGAAGTTTTTTCGTGGGGACCTCGTTGCTAAAATCTAACGGGCGCGCGAAGAATTTCCGGTGTATGATCGCCAAGAAAATTTCTGACCTCCTAACGTTTTTTTTCTTGCAGTTAGCATGAAGGAACGGTTAATATACACCAAACTAACAGGACTGACGAAAACAATAGTTTTGTGGGGGATGCCTTTTAATCAGAAGGATTAGATATAGATACAGTGCATTGTCATTTTCATTGGAAAAAATTCTCACCGAGAGGATATAAATGTTTTTATTAAAAACTGGAAACCACGTCACAAACTGAAAACGTCGCAAACCGCGTCATCAACGGGAACGTGGATACTACAAAATACCTGTTCGGCTTAGTCGTTTCCCTAGATCTGTGCGTGGGCACGGTCAACGCAAAAGAATGATACCACTTAAGTTTTATGAAGCCTTGGTCACAAACGTAGTCAGGCGAAGGGGTTTCCAAATATGGCCGGGGACGTTTCTGATTGGTCTAAATTCTCGCATATTTTCCAATACATTTCATGTTGTAGCACGTGCAATGTTATTCTGAAATAGCAATCCTGTTGATTCTTGACATAATCCGCAGCCTCTTTTCATTCGCAAGTTTTGAGAGGTATTTTTAACAGACAAACCAGTGGTTCAACAAAACCATCCGTTATCTCTGCTTCAAGGTAAGTTACCCAATCACTAAATCGAAGTCTTTTAACGACGAACCATAATCAACCAAGTTTCATTTAACAAAACCAAAAGCATGAAGCTCAGAAACAGTTATCTATTCGATTCAAATCTAAATCCGTTGAGAAATGAAAAAAAATGAATTGCTAGTTAAATTTCAATACGATTTTCATCGGTCATAATTAAAGTAGAAATTAATCATAGAATCATGATGATATGGGTTTTCTCGCCTTTGAGATAGAGGTTAGGGAATCATCAATGTTGTTAGATCGTGGGAATTGACATTTTGATTCCCTTTCGCAAACACAGAATTATCTCTTTGAAGTTAGGATTCATTCTTTCGCAGAATTAAAGCCGGGTTATTAACTTAGCTGACCAAGGCTTTAATTTGTTTCATGGACTTATCAGCCATTCTGAAAGTTAGATTTTGCATTAAGGTATCATAGACGAGAGCCGGGCCATTTTCTCATGAACGTAATCGTCTGTTTTCTCAACACTCTCCTTCGTTAAAGCTTAAACATTTTTCTATTCAGTATGACGAGAAATGATTGCAAAATCCGGTAAAAATCACGTTTTATTCACATTGGTGATAACATGTAATACCAAAATGATTACATGTCGATGAACAATCGGTCTCGGGAACAATAAGGAGTTTTAAGAGCCTGTCTGGAAGATCCATTTTTGAAATTAAGTTTGCGACGCCCTACTGAGTTTAATCAAGTACAGTCGTAAGTTGCTGTCGACGCCGGTTTGCCGCCTTCGACGAATCGTCATGACCAAAACCCGGCTCTCCTATTATTACAAAATGAAGTGATTGCACCAGTGGAAGGCTTTTTTGGGATTGTAATTCCCTACAACATCTGCTTCTCAGTGCTGAATACGTTTCTTTTCCTCCATTCCTTACATGGGGAGGTTGCTAAAAATTATTTCAGACTACAACTTTTTAAACGATAACACATTCTTCTGAGGTGTTTTTTAATGATGTATTACTTTGATTTTTGTTTATTATTGCTATTGTTAGTTGAAAATCAATCACCTGTTAAGTGGAGATTTTGCTTAATTTTTTTTTCTTCTACTTCTTCAAATACTACTGATCACTCTGATCGCGGTGTAAAGCCACTAGAAGAAATCTTGCGTGTTGAAAGTAAGATGCTTGTCTTAAGGTGTTGCTTTTAAACACGTTTAATTCATCATATATGTTGTGGCTAAAGTGGTATCAAAAAGTTTTATGCCTAATAACGTATGCAAAACTAATTGAATTTTAAATCAAACAGAAATAAAATTTCAAACACGAGACTTGCAAAACAAATCAAACAGAACACTATGCAATTTAGAAACGATAATTTGCCCAGCAATTTTCAAACGAAAATATTATACGTCAGGCTTGATAGTAGTTACAGGTTGTTGTGAGCAATGTACTATCCGAAAGAGAAACGAAACAATCATTTTTTATAGATAAAATATCTTATTGGTATATCCTACTGCAATATTGATCAAGTTCTAATGTTCAAATAGGTTGCCTTGTATGGTTAATGACCTAAAATCTTAATGGTGTTTTACCTGGTTTTCGTAGCAAGTTTTGAAAAAGCTTTGCAGAGAAATACTGGTGAGTCAATGCGCTGGTCGAAATATTGGGGTCTCTGTATTTCACATTTCGTGTAAGGAACGCGAAGATTCAAAGATAAATAGAACTTGTTCTACCAATAAAAAGGAAGACGGCGATGTGAGTTAAGTATGAGATAAAATCATAGGAAGAAAGGAAAATACCTTTAAGAGGCAATGAGAACTCGAAGTAAAAACAACCGAAATGCCAAAAGCGCGGAAAAACGCCGCGGCGAGCGACCATGTCGTGATCGGTTTTTTAGTTTTAGATCTTACTGGTTGAGAGAGTGGCGCGATTTTTCCAGACCAATTACAGAGCAGGTTAAGCAAAACCAATGCAACCTCGGTTTACTTTCGAAACTGTATTGAAAATTACTCTAATCATTTAGACTGATAAAAAAAATGTGGAAAAACAAAACCAAATCAATCTTAGATTCGGTTCCTTTCGACTCTCAATTGATACATTTTTCGGGCTCTTAAATTCAACTGGATTTGTGCGACACCGAGACCGTGAAAAATAAGTATGCATGCATGTGTGATGCCAATTAAATTTGTTTGTTAATCCTGGAAAAAGAATAAGAAAAACAGACGAGATACAGAACACTGCTTTTAAAACTCATTCTCTCTGTACAGAATTAACAATTCGCGTTACTAACAAATGGTTACTTTTAAACTGGTGTCGGGCACCATTGAACCTGGTAACGAGAATGGTTCAAGGGTTAATTCACACCGGCAGTTTATTTTTGGAAAGCAAAGCTTGAGATTGTTTCGAGGCAATACGGCTTTCCAGCAAAACCGAAGGTGTAATTTCTCGCATTTTCTACACATGCTCAAAACTGGACTGTTCTTTACTTTTTTTTTCGTAAAAGTGAACTGCTAACTATGAAAATCTTGAGTTAAATATACCATATGAACAGACACTTCAGGGGGCGTGAATTTTTTTAATAATTATTATTTTTATTTCTTAAATTTCTATTTTTAGTTTATTTATATATGCAATAATTCTTTTAATTTTTTTAAAAATTTTTTTTTTTTGGACTCCGCACTCCGCACTCCGCACTCCGCACTCCGCACTCCGCACTCCGCACTCCGCACTCCGCACTCCACGTTTTCGGAACAGCCATTTTTCAAGGCGTCGTGAAGCTAAAACTGCCTGCTTTTAATTCACATGTTTGTATCAGTTTTACAACAGTTTTTCTGTTTTAAGTGTTTACTGAGTTTGCTTCAGAATTTACCTTTCATTGCCAGCTTCGCACATTCTTTCCGTTTCTATTTATGCTCTCAGTTGCATGTAATAAAATTGATTGATACTTTATTGATAGGTACATAAATTGTAGCTAGCCGCTGTATTTAAAAAAAATCTCATAGAAATCTGATCAGAAATTACGACAAAATTTAAAAAAAATCGTGAGATCTGATTCAAATATTGTTCAAACAAAAATTGACGGTTATCTGCTAGAGTTTACCCAGGAACATGGATGATATATAAAATTTTTTGTGGCCCTGTAAAGTTCAAACTAGACGAAAAAAGTTCTGGGATCGAAATGTTGGAAACTGAGCAAAGGGTGAAGTATATGGCGGAGGCGGTGATTGCTTTCAGGATGTTATAAAAAAGTTCTAATTATTTACGTGCATTCAGTTAGGTTTTAATACGTTTCCTCCATCAAATCGTGAGCTAGGTAGAATATTAACCCAAAAAAAAAAGATTTTTTATACAAGAGGAACTATATACCAAATTTAATGTTCTATCCCAAATTGGTGTTATCCGTTTTTCAAGCAATTCGGTCTCTAGTGACTAACAGATAGCTTTTCGTGCGTGTGATTGTTGTTCGTGCACGCATGAAAATATTTTCTCGTGCACGAGACGAGAGTGTGACTAAAGGCCAACGCTACGTCAAGTTTCTGAATACGCGAAGCTTCAAACGAACGCGCGCAAGCAATATTTTTTGTAAAGAAAAGGATCGAACACACAGTTTTCGCCTTTGTTCCTCCAATTTTATCAAAGCAAGAACTTAGGAGCTGTAATTCGGACCGGCTATACTGTATTTGTTCAAAGCTATAAAAGTATATTCGGAAGAAAAGACAAGTCCTCT